TTTCTTTCTTTTATGTCTTGATTGGTGGAGCCCTGAGTACTTTTATTACATTCGGTGTAGGCGCCAGGTTTATGTTATGTGTTGTTGTATTCTATTCTTGTATTTTGTGAATGTGTCAAGGATGTCATTTGATCTGACTGCAAGACAAATTTACCTACGGGTATAAATAAAATAACCTAACCTAACCTAAACTGTCATCAAATGTTCAGCATCTACTCTCCTAACACACCACACACACAAATGACTTTAATTCATTTTGACTGTGGCGTTTCTACCACACATTTTGGTTTTACCAATTAATTTTGTTAATGAATTTTTATTAATTACTGAATATAGTATCCTGTTCAACCACCCGAATCAGCTCACACTGTGCATCTCTCATAGTCAGCTGTCCAGTTCGGCAAAAATAAATCCAGTCCGAACTTGAGTGAAACCTGACACAGCAAGTTTCTTCCTGGTCAGTGAGACTGGATCACTGCATTGTTCCACTGATGCCATGCTATCGTCACCTCTCTTCTCCTCCTTTATGTTGTCTGAATCCTTACCTGGAATGTGTTTGGCCCAGCCGATGATCACAACCAGCTCACGGTCAGCAAGGTCACAAAGGGTGGTGAGTGTCCGCTGGGCTGTGTCAGGCTGCAGAGGGTCGGGCATGGCAAATAACTTCTCTGGCTCTGCCACTAGGAGGTGGGACACAATGATGTTTGAGGAACCTATGTCACAAAATAAGACACCAAACAATGGATTATATGATGCACATATAAATACTGCAATGTACATACAGTACATGGATGAATCTATACCCAAAATATCACCTCTCTCATTGTTTAAATTAATACATTAAATTTAGATTTATACAACACATTGATCTGCACTGGGTTTAACTATACTTTATACTGTCCTATATACAAGCGTTCACATCCCTGCTTCAAATACAGGCGTGGGACCTTCCAACTGACATGTTATTAATGGACAGATATTTTTGCAAATGAGAGTTTTGCTTTAAACCTGCTCATCAAAGTTCTAAATTATGTCATTGAAACTTGTGCAAATTGGCACAGTTACAATATGTCACTTTTTATTGTCAATAATATTGTCACTTTATTGCTGTCTGAAGGGTACCATTTTTTGCCAACAGAGGGTGCTGCTTTCTAATCATTTCCAGCGGGTTTGAACCATTCTGTGTGCTTCTTCATGCTCTGGGCACCTCAGGTTGTACCTATCTAGCATATGTTGCATTTTTGGAGGAGCATCCTGTGCACTTCAAGTGTGGGGAAATAAAAATAGGATAAACTTTGAACACATGTACTTTGTTTTTATCAACACACTTGCTGACCACATAAAGTTAAAATGTATCTGTAACTATTTTGTCTTTAATTGACCAAACACAGCTGTTGTTGGCAGATGCATGTAGATTGCCAGCAAATAATGATCAACAGCCCATGATGTGCTGTAGCAGCAAGACGCCTCTTACAGTAAATAAATAAATACTGCCTTCTTGGACATACAGTATTGTTCAAAATAATAGCAGTACAATGTGACTAACCAGAATAATCCAGGTTTTTAGTATATTTTTTATTGCTACATGGCAAACAAGTTACCAGTAGGTGCAGTAGATTCTCAGAAAGCAAACAAGACCCAGCATTCATGATATGCACGCTCTTAAGGCTGTGCAATTGGGCAATTAGTTGAAAGGGGTGTGTTCAAAAAAATAGCAGTGTCTGCCGTTGACTGTACAAACACAAAACTATGTTGTACAAACGTTTTTGTTTCTAGGATTTAGCAATCCTGTGAATCACTAAACTAATATTTAGTTGTATGACCACAGTTTGTTATAACTGCTTCACATCTGTGTGGCATGGAGTCAACCAACTTGTGGCACCTTTCAGCTGTTATTACACTCCATGATTCTTTAACAACATTCCACAATTCATTTACATTTCTTGGTTTTGCTTCAGAAACAGCATTTTTGATATCACCCCACAAGTTCTCGATTGGATTAAGGTCCGGGGATTGGGCTGGCCACTCCATAACATTAATTTTGTTGGTTTGGAACCAAGACTTTGCTCGTTTACTAGTGTGTTTGGGGTCATTGTCTTGTTGAAACAACCATTTCAAGGGCATGTCCTCTTCAGCATAAGGCAACATGACCTCTTCAAGTATTTTGACATATGCAAACTGATCCATGATCCCTGGTATGCGATAAATAGGCCCAACACCATAGTAGGAGAAACATGCCCATATCATGATGCTTGCACCACCATGCTTCACTGTCTTCACTGTGTACTGTGGCTTGAATTCAGAGTTTGGGGGTCATCTCACAAACTGTCTGTGGCCCTTGGACCCAAAAAGAACAATTTTACTCTCATCAGTCCACAAAATGTTCCTCCATTTCTCTTTAGGCCAGTTGATGTGTTCTTTGGCAAATTGTAACCTCTTCTGCACGTGCCTTTTTTTTAACAGAGGGACTTTGCGGGGGATTCTTGAAAATAGATTAGCTTCACACAGACGTCTTCTAACTGTCACAGTACTTACAGGTAACTCCAGACTGTCTTTGATCATCCTGGAGCTGATCATTGGCTGGGCCTTTGCCATTCTGGTTATTCTTCGATCCATTTTGATGGTTGTCTTCCGTTTTCTTCCACGTCTCTCTGGTTTTGCTCTCCATTTTAAGGCATTGGAGATCATTTTAGCTGAACAGCCTATAATTTTTTGCACCTCTTTATAGGTTTTCCCCTCTCCAATCAACTTTTTAATCAAAGTACGCTGTTCTTCTGAACAATGTCTTGAACGACCCATTTTCCTCAGGCTTTCAAATGCATGTTCAACAAGTGCTGGCTTCATCCTTAAATAGGGGCCACCTGATTCACACCTGTTATTTCACAAAATTGATGACCTCACTGATTGAATGCCACACTGCAGAGCCCAATGACAAATGTAGTCAATGTGTGAGTTGACGGCACCTTTACAGAGCTGCTACATAGCATGTGGCCCCTAGAGTCTTTTACCTTTGCCTGAGAGTTGCCACTGAACAGTTAAATAAACAAACCAAAAATAAAAACGTGATGTGTAATTGAGCCACTTTTATGTCGATTACACAGTTTTATTGTTGATAAAAGTATCACACTGGGCTCCCCTATTGAATAAGAATAAAAATCCCACCTTTTTCATTCTCCTTTGTCAGTGGTAGAGGAGCACTCTGGTACGTGGCATTCTCCACTTCTGGGCGCCTTTTGTATTTTTGTCTTCCACCCCGGACCCTGTCAAGACGAACTCCTACATTGTGAAACAAAGTAATTATGATTTAAGAGTAAACATATCATATTTAAAGATCAGAACAATGACCCTTAAGATATACAGTAAAGGACCAGCCACACAGGTTCTGCACACCATAAACACTCACCCTCTTTCAGCATGCCTACTTTGAGGCACTTGGTGAAGCGACATGCCTGGCAAGCCTTTCTGCGCCGTTTGGTGATCTCGCACTCGTTTGATGCTGGACAACTGTATTCAATGTTACCTTAAAGGGAAAACAGAAAAATTACAATTTAGAGTTAAGAAGATGATTAAGAAATACAAATATGAACATTTGATATGAATGAAAACCCCCTCCCTCAGTTTCTTAACATACAGTCTGCCCAGAGCAAAACCACACAAGCTAACATACTTATTAAGTTTCCCAACATATAACATACATACAGTTCATTGTTCAAGGATTTTGTTTAACAGACCAGTAAAAACCAGATGGGATAGTTGTAGTGATAATGTACTGAAGCATGTTAAAGAATAACACCATTGGGACATGATGTGGGTCCTAAGTCACTGCAGCATTTCTCAGACATCTTCCCCACTTTGGAGTCTGTAAACCCCTCAAGCGACGATGAAGGTGTATTTTAATTGGTCAGTGACAGACCAAATCAATTTATGAGCCTTTGTTTATTTTTATTCCCTAAACTCCAGCTATACCGGCCCTCATGCACATGTAACAAACATCCTGTCTTAAAATACAGAGAAGATATGTTATGAGTTCACAGAGGTCACTGACAAAAGTAAACACTTTTCAAATGAGATACTTCCTATTGAGTATGACAATATAAAGGAAAAATACATCTGTAATCATTACTTAACACTGTATTCTCAGATTTGACAAATTTAATTCTTATTTTTGAACAAAGTCCTGTTTTGCTTCTCAAAAATGAATCACTCCAAAATCAAATCCCATCAAGTTGTTACATTACAGAAGGTGTCAAATGGGAACATTTACTGTAAACTGGTTGTTCTGCTATGTAAACACTTAAACGTCACCATAACACACACCTTGGATGGTTCTCTTGAAGAATGCCTTGCAGGCCTCACATGATGCCACGCCATAATGGTAGCCTGAAGCCACATCCCCACATACTAAACAGAGCCTCTTGGGTAGTGTGCTTAGGGCGTACTTGCAGCGCCCCGCTCCATTTCCAGTGGAGCTCTCCTCTGCCCCATCACCACCCTCGTCTTTAAAGTGGCAATGCAAGGCTGGTGTGTAGAGTGGCGGAGAGTAACGTTTAGCGCCATCTCCTCTGGTTCCTCCACCTCCGCTCTGAGAGGAGTCTGAAGAGGCCCCGCCGGGGCTGGTCCGACCTCCCCCACCCCCCTCTGGACTGCACGGTTCTGCTTTTATGTAGACATCTGACCGATGCTCCCTGGAAGACATGATGTCTACAGGGGAAAAAGCAAAGACAAAGAAAGGTCAGGTCAATAAAGGTATACATCCTTTACCTCACATCGTTGTCTCTGAAACTACAACAGCTAAAAATGACCAAAATCTAACCAATTATTTGCTCACTCGTGTCATGATACAGATGCACAATATAAATGTTTCAACAGACAAATAGAACATGTAATCTAATACCTTCACACTGTTAACTCTCCTTTAAGAGTTGAATAAATCTTTTAATTAGAAATTTTAAAACAAAGCAATTATCTCGTCATTTTCATAATCACAATCTATACAATTCAACTGTATCCTTTAGCATCTTCAACTAAAAGCGATGATGGAAAAGTGTCAGTGGTGCCCTTAGCAGTGCCCCAGCAAACCCCAGGGGGTGTCAAGTTTTTACACCAACAATTACTGTTTGCACACCTATAGTTTGTCCATGTGGGTTGGTTTGAGGGTAAACAGGAATCAGAAGGAAACAGGCAACAAAAGAGCCAAATGGTTACAGGAAAAAAACATCTAAACTGTAATATAAGACCTGAAGTGAGGCCAGAAGTAAACAAATGTACCCGCAGATTTCGACCTGCGTCTAACCTCCGGTAAAACCCAACGAACCCACACTCTACTACCAGCAGTGACTAACCAAGAGTCCCTGTTGGAAACAGGGACTGTGAGAAACACTCCAATTTTATATAATCAGCAAGCAAACCCCACAATAGGCCTGCTTGTTCTTTCTCCTGTTCTTTAGCGGAACTTGGTCCCTGTGTTGTTTGTGCCATTTCCTCCTCGTCTAGGCTTTTAAAGCCATCATCACCTTGGACTCACAAAACCAGAACCTTTCATGCCTAAAATAACCATACAGTCCTTGAATCATCCCCACAGTGCGAAGTCTTTGTCTGTGACATTTCTTGACATTATAGCAGCCAAGGTGACTGGATGAAGCTATGCTCCTTAACAGTGCCCACTCTCCCCTATTTAGACACATATCTTATGTGAGACAGTGACAGCTGCAGCAAACAGCTTTGCTGCCAAAGGCTGTAGCTCTAAATGTAATTACAGAAATGATTGCCACCTACCACAGGTCAAAAAGAATTTAAAAAACAATCACATTAATAATGCTTATAAAGAAATGTTTATGATTTCAAATTAGGGCTGCAATTAAAACTTTCATTATAACTTTTCTCAATCAATCAATCAATCAATCATCAAAAAAATCCAATTCACAAGTCCAAATATGCAAAGATATTTAGTCTGAATGTCACTTTCGGCTTTTCCCGTTTAGGGGTCGCCACAGCGAATCGTCACACTGACGACTCGCATGTTAACATTTGGCACCTGTTTTTTACGCCGGATGCCCTTCCTGACGCAACCCTGATTCGAACCCGGGCCACAGCGGTGAAATCGCTGCGCCTTAACCACTAGCCTACCAGGGACGGCTGTATTTAGTTTATAATGATATAAAGAAAAGCTGGAAATCATCTCATTTGAGAGGCTGGGATATCAGAGAGAATTTGGCATTGTTTCACTACTTTTGCTTGAAAAATTACTTAAATGATTAATCAGTTATCAAAATAATAATAATTTTTAAATTATTTTTCTGTAAATCAACTAATCTTCGCAGCTCTATTCCAAATTCAAACACACAGAAGACTCATGGAGCCAAAATTACGGTTCGTACCCAGTGGCTGCATAAAATATTCAGACCCCTTCACTTTTTGCATGCTTTATTGCCTTAAATTAATAATTGTCTTCTTCCCCCATCAGTCGGCATTAAATGCGCCAAAGAGTGCGAGAGCATTCATATGGAAACTCAGTTAAATGATGTTTACCCATTATTTAGCCCCAAAGGGGGGGGGGGGATGTCAGGCCACACTGTCATAAATCTTCAGAGCCCCACAATAAGCAACATCATTTTCCAGACATAATCCACCCTAAACACAAAGCATCCCTGAACCCGATCATCACCCAAGGAAAGAGCAGCTATGTGGCTTAACACACAGCAGATTAAGCAGTGGCTGGTCCAAAATGGCTTGTAATGGCAGTTACCTCTGAGACTCGGGTCCCCTCCACTGGCAATATTCCACCAAGATTGTCAAACAAAAGAAAATACAATACAAACAGCCCCGGTGACTCAGTAACTGTATTATCACCAACACCAATACAAGTTCTGTGTAGGAGTGACGTCTACAGGGTCATCGGGGGGGCACCTTCTCACTATTAACTAATCAATGTAAACCCAATAGCCTATTGTGACAAAGTGAAAACATTTTTAGACAATTTTACAAATTTATTTTAAAAAAATCAAAAACTGACATCTCTCATTTCTAAAAGTATGCATGCACTTTGCTCTGGACTCCAATTTTTTTGTTCCTTTTTCCCAAGGAGATATTTCATAATTCTCTGATGCAATAATCGGTAGCTGATGTAAAACATAGCCTATACTATATCGTCTGTACAGTTTATATAAATAGTGATCATGCTTTAAGGGCCTACAGGCCAGTGAAAAAACAACTCCTGACCAAAGCTATGAAAGTGAAACGTTATAAATGGGCATTGAAATACAAGAACTGGACTAAAGAAGACTGGAGAAAAGTCCTTTTTTAGTAATGAAAGACATTTTTTGTCCAGGGACAGAGAAGTCAGCATGTTCAGAGGTCACCAAATGAAAAACTCTCCAATGCCCACATCGACCAGAGGGTAAAACACCCACAAAAAAAGATGTTTTGGGGTTGCTTCAGCTATTATGGCATTGGTAGCTTGCATCCAGTTGAAGGCATGATGCGTTCACCACAATACATTGAAATTCTCCGAAGAAAAGTTGCTCCAGAACTGATAAAGTTATTTCCTGATGGATCCGGTGTTTTTCAACAAGATTTGGCCCCGTGTCACACATCCAAACAGGTGAAGAATTTTTTTGAGGAGAATCAAATTAACACACTGGACTGGCCTGGAAACTCTCCCGATCTAAACCCAATTGAAAATTTGTGGTCTATTTGTAAGCAACAACTCCGTGGGATGGACTGCACAACCATGGAGAAGATGATTCAGGCCCTAATTCAAGTTTGGCACAAGGACCCCAAAATCATCCTAGACCGTTCAAAATTGGTGGATTCAGTGCTAAATCGCATCCAGATGCTTCTCAAGAGTCGAGGAGGTCATATCATGTACTGATGTGTTAGAATATTGTTCATATAAAGAAAATTGAGAAAAACAGATTTTTGTTGTTCTCAGGGTTTGTTTCAATTAATTTGCACAAATTTTGAAAGATGTACATCCTTGCATGTGTATAAGGTCCCACAAGTTGAAGTGGACAAAGTTTGTCAGGACAAAAAACAAACTATCAAGTCCAAGAGACTCCCAGCAGATACAGTGCCTTGCGAAAGTATTCGGCCCCCTTGAACTTTGCGACCTTTTGCCACATTTCAGGCTTCAAACATAAAGATATAAAACTGTAATTTTTTGTGAAGAATCAACAACAAGTGGGACACAATCATGAAGTGGAACGAAATTTATTGGATATTTCAAACGTTTTTAACAAATAAAACACTGAAAAATTGGGCGTGCAAAATTATTCAGCCCCCTTAAGTTAATACTTTGTAGCGCCACCTTTTGCTGCGATTACAGCTGTAAGTCACTTGGGGTATGTCTCTATCAGTTTTGCACATCAAGAGACTGAAATTTTTGCCCATTCCGCCTTGCAAAACAGCTCGAGCTCAGTGAGGTTGGATAGAGAGCGTTTGTGAACAGCAGTTTTCAGTTCTTTCCACAGATTCTCGATTGGATTCAGGTCTGGACTTTGACTTGGCCATTCTAACACCTGGATATGTTTATTTGTGAACCATTCCATTGTAGATTTGGCTTTATGTTTTGGATCATTGTCTTGTTGGAAGACAAATCTCCGTCCCAGTCTCAGGTCTGTTGCAGACTCCATCAGGTTTCCTTCCAGAATGGTCCTGTATTTGGCTCCATCCATCTTCCCATCAATTTTAACCATCTTCCCTGCCCCTGCTGAAGAAAAGCAGGCCCAAACCAGGATGCTGCCACCACCATGTTTGACAGTGGGGATGGTGTGTTCAAGGTGATGAGCTGTGTTGCTTTTACGCCAAACATAACATTTTGCATTGTTGCCAAAAAGTTCGATTTTGGTTTCATCTGACCAGAGCACCTTCTTCCACATGTTTGGTGCGTCTCCCAGGTGGCTTGTGGCAAACTTTAAACGACACTTTTTATGGATATCTTTAAGAAATGGCTTTCTTCTTGCCACTCTTCCATAAAGGCCAGATTTGTGCAGTATACGACTGATTGTTGTCCTATGGACAGAGTCTCCCACCTCAGCTGTAGATCTCTGCAGTTCATCCAGAGTGATCATGGGCCTCTTGGCTGCATCTCTGATCAGTCTTCTCCTTGTATGAGCTGAAAGTTTAGAGGGACGGCCAGGTCTTGGTAGATTTGCAGTGGTCTGATACTCCTTCCATTTCAATATTATCGCTTGCACAGTGCTCCTTGGGATGTTTAAAGCTTGGGAAATCTTTTTGTATCCAAATCCGGCTTTAAACTTCTCCACAACAGTATCTCGGACCTGCCTGGTGTGTTCCTTGTTCTTCATGATGCTCTCTGCGCTTTAAACAGACCTCTGAGACTATCACAGTGCAGGTGCATTTATACGGAGACTTGATTACACACAGGTGGATTCTATTTATCATCATTAGTCATTTAGGTCAACATTGGATCATTCAGAGATCCTCACTGAACTTCTGGAGAGAGTTTGCTGCACTGAAAGTAAAGGGGCTGAATAATTTTGCACGCCCAATTTTTCAGTTTTTTATTTGTTAAAAAAGTTTGACATATCCAATAAATTTCGTTCCACTTCATGATTGTGTATCACTTGTTGTTGATTCTTCACAAAAAATTACAGTTTTATATCTTTATGTTTGAAGCCTGAAATGTGGCAAAAGGTCACAAAGTTCAAGGGGGCCGAATACTTTCGCAAGGCACTGTATGT